CTGGGAGTTCGTACAGCCTAGGACAATCCTTGCATTATTCAATGTTCATGCATGCCCGCACGCAGGGGCGATTTGAATAATAACTTTTATGTCTTTTTTTTTCTTTCTCTCTCCCTGAATATATATTGCTTATATATATTTTGAGTTGAACTGGTCCTGTGATCCAAAACATACAATTCTCCGATTTTTTTTTATTTAACTATTAGTAACTCTAGTTTAATGAATTAAAAATTCAATCTTGTATTTTATTGGATGCATCCATACTTGGGGTTCTAATAACTAGAGAATCCAATGACCATGGACCCAAGAATGGTAAACTCAAAACAAGTACTGTTGACAATTGAGCATTTTAATACTGATGCAAACCACCTTTACTTATTTATTCAAATAGTACATGCATTTGGTTCCTGACTTATAGGGTCGAATGACATTTGTCATTCTTGTAAAAATTCACTTTCTCTCTTTTTTTCAGGCAACAGGTTAATTCGGTCTTATAACAATTATTTAAAAAAAAAATAGTACATGCATTTGCACCACCTTTGAAGAAATCTTCATAAATTTGATCCAAATGAAGGTGTTTTCTTTTCTTCTCCTTTGAAAGAACTTCTCGACCGAGAAAACATAGTGTTAAAATGGAAACTACTAATTCTCAAATGAAAGCCATAGGAAAAGCTGAAATAACTCGGAAGCTACCTACCAACTAGTAGGCCGCGAGGAGGGGATGAACTTTTTTGAAAGAAAATGGAACACATGGAAACCTCGTTTGTCCCCCGTGGTGGTGATCAACTATTTGAAAAGAAAATGTAATCCATGGAATCCTCTTTTGTCCTATATTTGAGCAAAATTGAAAGATAAAGCTACATACGTGTTTGCTATCTCTTTTATTGAAACTTCTTTGCCTGAATCTTCTACAATTTACAGGACAAAAGACATAGCTTGTGATGTATAAATACACACCATGTCTTGGACATTAATTCCACCACATCAATTTCGCTAACATTCCTTAGTCAAATCAACACACAAGTATTTTGTGTGTGGTAGCCCAAACCGAACTATTCTTTCTTGTTTTACTAGAGTGGGGTACTTCATCAATATACCAAAATGAAGTTTGGGAAAGAATTTGCATCCCAAATGGTGCCGGAATGGCAAGAGGCGTACATGGACTACGATTTTCTGAAGACCCTTTTGAAAGAAGTCCAACGTTTCAAGCTAAGAAGCAGGCCACCGGCGACTCCGGGTGGCCTGAAGAGAAAGATGACAATGTACAGAGCTTTCAGTGGCCTAACACAGAGGCAGCAAAATCATCCAAGTCCCTCTTCTAATGACATCGAAAGCCAAGCCATCTTCGTGAATCTGGTAAACGGAGAAGGGTCGGAAAAATACCAGACGACTTTCCTGATGGCGGATGACGAAGGAGGAGAGTACGAACTGATGTACTTTAGGAAGCTGGACGAAGAGTTCAATAAGGTGGACAAGTTTTACAAGGCTAAGGTCCAGGAGGTGGTGAAGGAAGCGGAAATGTTAAATAAGCAAATGGAAG